AGGCTTGTGATTGGAGGAAGCCCGTTCGCAGAGACAAAGTATGGGCAGTTTCACTTGTGGTTGGAGGCTTGTGATTGGAGGAAGCCCGTTCGCAGAGACAAAGTATGGGCAGTTTCACTTGTGGTTGGAGGCTTGTGATTGGAGGAAGCCCGTTCGCAGAGACAAAGTATGGGCAGTTTCACTCGTGGTTGGAGGCTTGTGATTGGAGGAAGCCCGTTCGCAGAGACAAAGTATGGGCAGTTTCACTCATGGTTGGAGGCTAGCAATAGGAGGAAGCCCGTTCGCAGAGACAAAGTATGGGGAGTTTCATTCGTGGCTAGAGGCTAGCAATAGGAGGAAGCCTGTTCGTAGAGACAAAGTATGGGGAGTTTTGCCACCACGCGGTTCTCTTTTCGGCTGACTTCCTTGAATAAGACGCCCTTCAATTTTGAGCATAAGGATTTTAGAAAAAAGTATTGTCTTATAGTCGGAAAAATACGGTAGGTCAAAGACCTATATTTGTCTATTGCTTGCCCATGTTACTTTTAAAGATACTTGAGAAGTCACTGCATGACAATCCATATCTTCTGGACTATCAAATGGATTAAAAGAAAGCTATTTACTGAGCTACTTATTGCATTTTGCAATAAATTCATTAATATTTTAGTAGCATATGTACATTTAAATATGTAGGCATTTAAATACTATTTGGGAAAGATTTTTAAAAAATCATTACAATTACACATCAAAGAAGAAATGGAACAGAATCCAATAAATAAAAATATAAAATAAAGATAAGTAAAATGGGATGCTCAATTTGGAGAAGGAATGGGGCACACAATTTGGAGAATGAGGTCTTCTAAGTCACCATGAGAACAGGGCTTCTGCTCTTCTCCAAATAACATGCCTGTTTTCATGAAACCTGGGGAAGACCAGAAGGTTTCTGAAGGCTCGCAAGAATGGGATGTGTGATTTGGAGAAGGAATGGCATGAGCATCCTCAGAAAGAAGGACTGGTGCAGCCAGAAGCTGCCTCGTATACAGTAGGGTCAGACTAGGCGTACCTTGTCAGCAGTGGGAGGAAAATGACAAAGGTCAGCTGGGTGCGGCAGAGCCTGTAAGGTGCAGGGCAGTGGGGGCAACTGGGGCTTTGCACAATGGTGCTGGGGTGGCTGGCCGTATGGGGCTCGAGGCGCCATTTCTCAGTGGCAGTGGTAGCACTGGGTCTGAAGTAGAGGCCTGGGAAGCAGTGGCAGCTGGCTGAGGCTGCTGAAGGCCCCAGGCCTCTACTTCAGCCCTGGCACTGTTGCCACCTAGTGCCACTATGCAGGGTGGCCAAAGGACCATAGATGGGAGGTGAGATAGGCAGGTGGGGGAAGTTGCAGTGCCCCCGTGGACATAAGTGCAGGCAGGCCGCCAAGTGCAGGCAGGATGTTCATCACATGACCACAGGGGTGCTGCAATGTCCGTAACTTTGGGCAGGAGTTGTAAGTCCATTTCTTTCAGCACCATCGTAATTTCAAATGGTTGCTGAACAAATGGTAGTTAAGTGAGGACTATCTGTATTTCTTTTTCTTTACTATATTCTTACTTTTATTTCTCTTTTTTGTTTTATTCTTTACATTTTTCCCCTTTGTACCTTTTACTCTTTCTTTCTATTTTTCTACCTTTCTTTTAGTTTGTAGTATTTTTTACTATTGTAATTAGAATCCTTAATAAAATTCCTTAGAAAAAAAAGAGAAATATGAGGCAATGGCATTATTTTGGTATTAATTTCAAGTAATTCACAAACTTTTAAACATTTAAAAATATTTCCTATTTATTCTGAAAGTGTACCTTTCCTGATTCTGAAGCTGAAGGCAATAAAAGAAGTATCAAGCTTTCTGAAACAAATTTTATTGTTTCCTTAATAAGCTAGCTTCTGCCTTTTAGCCCCCTCATATCTTTAACCAAATGACCAAATTTAATTATCCTAGCTTCACATTACAACAATAGGAAGCTAGATACAATGTGTAATAAATCTACAGTCCCAGACATAAAGACATTACAAGGTTATCATATCCAACTTTTAGTACAAATGCTTCCTAAACAACAAAGAATAATTCTGAAACTGGAGATCCTTTTCCTTGCATAACTCACCATGAGGTCTTGCTTTGCAACTTTGGCATAAATATCCACTCGTCCTTTGTTTTGCGGGCAGATATCTACTCGGCCACAGAAAGGAGAAATAGTCACAGTTCGGCCTTCTGGCAAGATAGGGAGGCCATTGGTTAAGCCACCGTCGATCCATTTCTAGTGGAAAGAGTTATGTTCTGTCAGTAATTAACTGCATCATTATTCTATTTGCATATCTGTGTAAAATCTCCGGTGTCAAAACTCAAGGAGAGAATTGCCACAAGTCATCTGTATTGTGCATTTTTAATCCTCTTATGTATATCATCTGTGTGTCACCCAGAAAACCTCATGGCTTCAACATCTAACCTAATTTCTAGATTTCCGTGTTTCTTCCCTATCCTATTATTTATAGTCCTTGCCTGATGAAAACTTGCAAGCCTGCACATTCTGTTGAACTATTTTAGCTTATCCTATCATTGATTTTGTTCAGATACTGATTTTGGATATTTTTTCTCCATAGGCAGGATGGCTGTGATTTGTTTTTTAAATAGAACAGATACCATATCTGTGCATGTGTCTAAATTATCTTCAGGCTCATAATACGCTAAATGCTTATTAATGCCAATAGATTTAGGTGAGAGATGCATATGATTCACTAGTACCATCAAGAATGACAGAGAATTTATGCGCTAGACAACAACAATCCAATCCATGGCCACTATAATGCTTCAATAAAGCGAAGAAACTTCAAGGTGAACATAAAGTGGAACTGAGAAGCATCTCAGAGCCAAATTCCATCGACATACCCATCAATATTACAATTATCACTATTTTGACTTTAAGAATTAAAGTAAATCTTTAATAGACCACCATATAAATAAAATATGGCATTCTGCTTGGCATACATTTCAACTTTATTGAGTAATGCAGAATAAAGAATATCCTACAATGAAAGCCAAGGTAAAAAGAATTACATAAAATGGCTTGAAAACTTTCAGTAGCTCCTTTCCTTGCATAGATGAAGCTTTTCAACATCTAGGTGATCAGGGCAACACTTCCAGAAAGGAATAAGAAAACCTTCCTGGCAGTTTAAAACGTTAAAGGTTACAGGGTATCTACTGAGGAAATAGCTACTTGAGGCCAAATCCTTAATTTCGGTAGCAAAAAAAAGCAGGGATTCCTAGGCAGGGAAGACAGAATAATAAAGCCTTCTGTAGCAAGCTCTAACAGATGCATTACTAGCTCTTACAAGGGGGGGCAGAGAAGGTGGAGTTATACAGGTTTCCAGGAAGGAATAGTGAGTATGTGATTTCTTGCAAAGGAAGACTGAGATTTGATTGAAGCTAGACACACTCAGCCTAGAATGGAAATACATTTTTGGATTATCTGATTGCCAGGAAGATGATGATGATGACGAGGATGATGATGATTGAAACAGTAACAAAACTGTCCCAGCAAAACGTCAAAGGAACATATTTTCCCAACAAAACCCTTACTCTTTTTCTTTCCCTGCACTATACTGTCTTCAATTACATTTTTTTTTTTTTTTAAGTTCAGCAGCTGTTTCATTCTTAGGCCTTATCTCTAGCAATTCACATATATACTACTACATAGAAAATACTGTAAAATAATGTGTAGTTAAAATCCACTTAAAAGAAATCATGGAGCATGACGGCAACGTTTAGGATATATCCTGAGTCAAGTATCTAAACCTATGTAACTGTGGAATCATTTCTTTTACAGGGCTATGCATTGTTTCATGGACCACTGAATTTATAATCAGGGTAAATGAATAAGTCTGTCTTCCTTTTCCCTCATAAGTCAGCATAAACTCCCAGAACACGAAGCTCATTAAAAAAAAGTCCACTATAGAAATACCACTACTATCTGGAGAGCAACAATATACTTTAGATGCAGAGCATTGAACAATTCTACTCTAAGTAAAGAGAATCTCAGCTATTTGCAAGGTGAGAGAAAGAATGAGCAAGAAAAAAAAATCTGATGGTTGTACAAACTTTGTAATAGGAGTAATCCAGCACAGCAGACAATACTAGATTACTAGACTTTTAATGGCTGCACAATAAAAGGAATTTTTTGTAGCTCAAAATATAGCAAGTTGTGTCTACTATTGCATACTCTTGTACAAAAGTATATCTAGTTCTGTCAGCCTTGCAAGGTAGTCCAGACAAGAAGCACACCCAGAACTACTAGTTCTAACTTTATTGTAAGGTTACATTAACAGATTCTTGCAAGTCTGATAGTACATCTCTCCCCCCCCATGCCTCTTCAGTCCAAGAAATTAGGGAAGATCCCTTCTGAGATGTTTGCCATGCCCCCATTATTTCTACGGGCTAAGCTGCCTTTTATCTGACCATTGTCTAGTCTGCGGCTCTTCTTCCTGTCTCCCAAGGTTATTTCCACATATCATTACAAATTCATAAGTTACTTCTAAGGTTGATAGTAACAAAGGAAACCATCCATCCTGTACTGATATCTCCACTGCTACCCAGACATGTCAATCACATGAGACATCTACAATATTTCATTAATTTCAACATCAAGAACATTCCATGCCATTTCAGAAGCCCATTATGAGTGATACTTTTGCCAGAGCAAGTCTTGAAGCATATCACTACAGAACTGGTTTTCAAGGCCACAATGCCTCACATGTTAACATGAGTTCTGAAAAATGTATCTGTTGATAGCTATAATCAGTCTAGTTGATATGAGGATTTTCTGCAGTATGCATGAAAACGCAGCATCCAGAATAAGAACTTTAACTATAAAGTTATACAGACCTGTCCTTTATAATCCACTGCATTAATTCCTGCATAGAGAGGAATAAAACTGCTGGCTAACAAAGCCTAGAAAACATAGAAAAAAAAACAATCAAAATAAAAGTGCATGAATAATTCTGATCTTTTTTCCTTAATTAAAGAGAAATACTGAGTAATAACAACTCTATTTTAACTCATCTTTCAGACAATGCTGCTTATAATTTTAATTATCAAATGATGTGTAGATGGGGATGAAGAGACAAGGGTAGATCTACTCTAGTGTCGAAGTCCAGGTATGCCCATTTTTTCAACAACGTAAGATCTTTTAAATCCCTTCTTGATTCTGATTGTCCTGGACCAAGGCACCCACATTATCCTAGCATGAGAGCTTACAGAAAAACAACTTTCAGTCATATGCTGTAAAATTGTGCAGTAAACTATGAAAGAGGAAATCATCTTCACTTGATCACTGATGATTTTGAGACAGAGATTAAGCACAAAAGAACAGGAAAATCACAATTACTGCTTTAAAAGTAATACAATAAATACAAATAAAAATAAAGGCCAGTTGTTAAGATTTCCAGGATGATTAAGTCATGCATTCCTGACTACAAATATGTCAATAGTCCTTATTTTTAAACCAAGGAAGTTATTCAAGTGAAGAAAATGAAGAGCATGCAGGACAAACTAATAAAACCTAAACTCTTAAGACCCTGGAGACAATTGTGTGCTTTCACTTATAGAAGTAATATGCAACTTTCCTACCTTAGTAAGATCTTCCCTGGAGGAAAAATTTGAAAGCAAATAATTTTTCCCATTTTTAGTACTAGTGACTGATACAAAGAGGCGATTTTTTGCTGTCTCATGGGCATTAGGGGGGAGGATTGAATCAATGTAATCCCTATAGAAAAACAGAATAATAAACAGTAGTCAGCCTTAATAATTTAGCAACTTCTAAATAATTTAGGAAAAAAGGAATGCTGTATTTCCCCAGAGTTATTATCACAAACGATGCACATAAAATCTCCAAGGTACCATTTATTGTACCATATATTTGTAAAAATGCTTGCAATACTTACCTAAGTTTTGTCATAAGATCATAGCCAGGTGTCAATGCTCCAAAATATAGTTTTCGAGTATCTGCAGCAAGTTGGTAGGTAATATTTGTACATTCCTGGAAAAAAAAAAAAAGATTCAAATGTCAAATTACACGATTGATAGTAAATACAGCTCATCTCAGTAGATTAACCTATTTAATTAAACGTTTAACTGGCCTTTTAACCTGTGTGTGTGTACAGAGGGATGGACGGACGGATGGATGGACAGACAGACAGACGCCAGGAATGTAGTTTCTGGTTCCCTTTTTATAGAGTCCAAATCTTTAAGATTGTGCTGGCACCGTAAGGCACAACGCTACATATTAACAAACAGGCTTCCTAATTAGAAGACTATATTTAAGAAAACACAACTCTGAGCCCATACAGCTAGACTCTGTTTAATATAATAAAAATCACACAACTGAGAAAAGATCTAGCCCCCGTAGGGAACAGTCCAAAATCATGTCACTACTCTACCTCTCTCAGTGATTAAAGAACTATTTAAAAATACTTTTTTTAAAAGTGCAACCTCTGATCAGAAAAAGGTGTCTGCCCTGTATATACTTGATATGTACGTACACTATGAGTTTTTTATAAAACCCTACGTATCAAAGTACAGTACAACACATCTGAGTAGTGCATTGTTACCATTATTGATAAATTAAGTAGAATTCATTATGTTTCTACCCACCGCCATAATAATTTTGATGAAAGAATAAGGTTTCTCATGCTGGTGGAATGTTATTTTTTTAAAAAAAAAAAAAGTTTATCACTACAGAAAAATACCTATCTATCCCAGGATCCAGGTTTAAATAACCTAAGCAAAAGTAAATAAAAATCAGCATGGAAGCAAAGAAAGATTTCTGAAATCATGCTTATAGGTATGGTTAAGAAAACAAAAAGCAACAGAGATTTGAAGAAAAAGACAAAGGTATGTTGTTGCTTTTATAATAAATAGTTTACTATAAGGGTCTAAATATTGCCAAGTTTATCCATTTGTATAATTATAAACTTACATATTTTGATGCCTGTTAGTCCAGCTTCATACGCTGATTGTAAAAACAGGCAGAAATATTCATATTTTTTTCTTGTAATTAGTATTTATCCCGTAATATTTCAAATGTTCATGATAAAGATATATCAAAAACTTCTAATTTATTTCCAGTTAACTAAGAACTACTTCTATTTTACTGAAATATTTCATGATGCCTGAAATTTTTGTCCAGCTAAGGAGCAGTTACTGAACTATAAAGGATTATGATGAGCAAAAGAGATCCTGGAATTTTTGGAAAGAATCATGCAGCTTTAAAGCAAGAAAACTGTGTGCGACAATGTTTAGTTATTTTAATGCCACAGACTTTGAAGATGTAATTTATTAAGATAAATCCTCATAAAAATGCAAAACCAGCTTTAACAGCTGCAGGTAGCATATGGACAATCCCTGTGGCACTGGAATTTTAAGAGAAAGTTGTTTAAATAGCAGTGATTTCCACCACTGACTTCCAAAAACCTTTAAAAGGATGTGACCAAGTTAGTTGCCACAGTCTTAGATGAAATATGGCCCAGAGATCGAAGAACGGTCAACTGATTTACAGGTTAACTAAATGATAAACTCAGTGCATAAATACTAATCAGATGCAGTTGAGCTAGGCTGGGTAAAACCTGGCAATATTACTAAATCAAACGAAATACAAAATTAATAACATCGTATTGTAACATACAGAACAAAGTGAAGCTTACTATGCAGATAACCTGATTTTTTGGTAACATTTCCATTTGCGGCCTAACTTGCGCGTGCACACAGACCTGTCTTGGGCCTTGCCCTCTCAGCAGCCACCTCCACTTCCTATCACTTACCTGCCCTTCTTGCTACAGCCATACATGTACACTTCTGCCACCTAATCAACCTATTGGTTTCTCCCCCCACCTGCTTGCTATAATATTTCCTTTCAAAGTTATCTTTTTAGGAAACACCTTGGAAATCTTTTCCTTTCAGAGACAGTATCATTTACGAAGCAGTCATAAAACTGTCCATAGTTCTGATGGGATAAACGCTTATCCCTAATTCGATTTCTGCCCATTCAATCAAATTTATATTTTGATTACTATAACAGACAACATGATATCTTGGGATACCCAACCAGTTCTTGAAGCCTAGGATTTATAATAGCAGTTGCAAATGACACATCTGTTAGAAATCACCATTTCAACATTACAGAACGGGGGGGCTTTTCGTCCTCACTCAATAGGAGGAAGTGAAAGAAGAGCAGGACATGCTGTTGTCACACCTATTTCAATCATCATGTCATATTAGCAGATGACTCTCACTCAGAAACATCTCAGTGTCCACTAACATTTCTATGCATATGACGACTACATAAGCAAAACAGAGTAAACTAGATCATTGCCTTAACGGCGGTAGCTGAATAAAACACATTTTTGTTTTGCAGAACAAGTTAACACTGCAAATTTACAAACCATAATGGCTCATTCAGCCAAACATGCAAAGTTAAAACCAACCAATTCATGTTATAACTTAATGTGCTATATCTATCAGGCTATCAGAACAGAATAAGGTTTTTAAAATCTGCAGAAATAACATCTGTTTCTAATCTTCATTGCTGTAATGTTTCTTATTTTTTTCAAACTGACAGCTAAAAACAAAATACCTCTCCAAATACAAATTAAAATGACTGAAACCCTTTTGCTGTTGTTGTTGCAGTTTTCCCTTCTATAAAGTGTCTTGGCTGACATGATGAAACACATGCTGCAGCTTTAGAACAAGACCTTGGCCTCATTTTTAAAAGCTTAGCTGAGATCATCCAAAGCAAGTAGATTTAAGCTATGTTTTCAAGATTACAGGTTCTTTTTCACAATTACCTCGATACTTCCTGGCACTGTTAAAAGAATAGTGGCAGTCAAAGCTCCTGAAGATGCTCCTGCAAAGGCCTTCACAACCTTCAACAACTTCTTACCATGTCTGCAAAAAGCAGATGCTGCCCCCAAGTGGTAGATCCCCAGAAAGCCAGAGGCTGCAAAGGATAAGTTGAGATGTTTCATCTTTGCTGTGGAAAGGAAATTTCAAATTTAAGATTTCCAAAGCATTTTCTGCAAAAGGCGACATGTATTAAATGAAAAATGCACAAATCATGGCTTCTATTAGGGATATGCTTCCGTATTACAATGTGTTGGCTTAAAAACAGCTGCCAATAGCTAAGAGGTAAGAGGTGTGTTTTTCTGTCTCTAACACCTGCTACAAACTGGAAAAACAATCCAGTGGTCATTTGGGAGGATGGAGGGAGCAAGTTATATATTATGCCTTAAATAAATCAGTGGTAACTCTTTTCAGGTCATATGGGTCTAGGGAGAGGAAACAGCTGATGCATTATTGCTTAATCATAGATTTTGATTAGCCTCTCATGCTAACAGGGCTATGGACTGTCTGGAAGATTAACCAGATTTTGGAAAATAAAGGGAAATCACCAAAATAAGCAACTCTGGACTCTTCCTATTCCCTTGCAGTATAATTCACTAATTTAAAATGTATAATGGAACTTTATTGTATTGCATTTTTCCCTATCTCTTCAGGACTCTACTAATTAAGCGGAGTGATAGTGGGAAAATTTACACTGTAAGATATCTCAGCATGCATTTCACATTAGTAAATATTACCACGGCAAGAGAATGGGATGCCAAGGGATGCTAAGTTGTACATTCAGCCATATAATTGGCCTATTTTGGTGGAGGGGAAAAAAACACAAATACAACATCAGATAGCTGGTGGCAAAGAAATCCAAAGAAAACTTTAAAATACATTAAATAATCACCTTACAGCAGAATGTACACTGTTGTAGCTTGGAACAAAAGAAAACAATGGTGCAATGTTTTATATTTCTGTTTCAGGACAAATTAGAGATGCTTTGCATCAACATCCATATTTGCACAAATTTACCATTGAGAATTTTAGTGATGGTGCCTGGTGTATATTTTAATGAAAAGAAAAGACTAACATTCATGCTCTCATTCATATGCATTCATGTGATCAGCAAATAAACTGGAACAGAAATAAATGAGGTAAATGAGTACAGGAGGAAATCATGACATTCGTGCTCTTCGCTTAGTCTCTTGCTATTACTGGCTCAAAAAATAAAATTTCTCATATAATCTGCTTAACATTTCTATGGAAAGTATTTGACCTCTTTAGGATTTTCTAATTTTGCAAGTCTTTGCCACTGAAAGATATCAGACTTGATGAAGGTCCAATAGAAGGGGAGCATGAGTGAAAAAATAACATCAATATTTAATTATTGTTTTATTTATTTCATAAACAAAGTCATCCAAAATGCAGTGTGCCAGGGTAAAAAAGTAATTGCATTTCATAGTTCATTCAGTTCAATTAAGGGGATTTCTAGTGGCAGGTGTAAATACTTCATTAAACAATCAATCCTGCCATATTATATGTTTTAGGAATAAGTGAATAAAGATGGATCAAAATTGACCACTCGGATGATTACATGACCTAACTTTGAGGATATAAGACCATATAAAGAAAGGAATGGCAATCGTACGCTGCAAAAAAATCACTGTTTCTTTCCACTACGCTCATAGATAACCCAATAAGTGTAGCATCCTATCTATTTGAATTAGTGGATGTCTAGCAAACATCAGTAGTACATAACAGCAACCATCTACTGCAGATGAACGGTGGAAGCCACTGAGAAATTCTATAGCAAATTACAAAAACTATTAAATGCATTATCAAGAAAGGAGCTAGTAGTAATGGATTAATGACTTGCAAATATTGGAGAAAGCGGCAACTACAAGAAGATTTCAACTGAAACAGAATAATGCAGGAAATAGATTAATAGAATTTTGTAAAGAGAATTCTTCAGTCCTTCAATACCAGCCTTCAAACGACATATATGAGAACATTGCTGGATACACAAAACTGGAATCAAATCGACTATATAACAGGAAACAGAAAATGAAGAAATGCAATCCAGCCAAGACAATTCCAGTTGTAGGTTATGAAACAGTCCCTGTGTGTCAAATATGTATAATAAACTTAGAGAATGTGTATTCAAGAGAATAGGTATTGTAGATTTGACTAGAAAACATCCAGTCTGAATATCAGATTTATATACAGAAAAAATTCAGTATGGTTAATTTATGTGAAACTGAACCTGAGAAGCTATGGAAAGAAGCATAAGGTATCACAAAAACTGTAACGAAAAAGGATATTCCCAAAATTTCAAAAATGGAAAAGAAAGCAATGAGATATACATATACTTTATTGCAAACCAAGCCCCAACTTGCTTTGAGAGGGCTGTAATGATACAAATAGCATCTTTACGCTGCCTTGAATTATAAATACAAATAAAATACACAAAGGATGGCTAATGAAGAGAACAGAAGCAGCTTTACTTTTGCTTTATAACTACAGCACGGGCTTTTATTGTGTAGATTGTATGAGAAAATAGAATATATTATGGCTGCCTTGTGTGCCAGAATACCTGCTATTATAAAGATTCCTCAGAAGAATAAAGAAGAACCTACTCTAAGAAATAAAACGGAAAAATAAAGTGGTTCAGAATTGCAAAGGAACTGGGACAAGAATGGATACTGTTCCCATAACTGCTTATCACATACATTATAAGACTAAGAGATTGGAACAGTGTACAGTGCAAGCAAAATAGGAGGCTGAAATACTATTTGAAATATGCAAACATTATTTTGTTAAGCCAAAGTGATTTATAGTTCCTTTTGAAAGAAAAATTAAAGATCTGGATTTATGTTAAATATTAACAAAGGCAATCCCAATGTGCATGTCTATTATTATTCACATCAAAGAGCTGAAGGGGACAGACCATGTGGCTTTCCTGAACTCAGTAAAAGATAAAGATGGGTAGTGCACACAAAAAAGGAGGGCATTAAGCCTAGGGAGGAAAGGAAAAGACCATGAAGGATAAAGAAAGACCAAAAGGGTTAAAGCGATGGTCCTCCTAGTGTTCAGCTGTGAAAGCTCTACCCTAAGAAAAAGTGAAAGAAGATCGATGCCTTTGAATTATGGACTATGGAAATCATTTACTAACTGCACATGGACTAATAGCACATGGACTAAATGAAAACTGATGGTTCCTGGAAGCCATGATCAGCAAGCATAAACTCATAGGCTTTGGGCATGTTAACTGTTGGTTGCTTCTACCGATGACATTACTCAACTGGGAGGTCTAAATTCAGATTAGAAGTGATAAGCACCAACATCTTTTTACTTCCATCCCAGTGCAGAAGAGAGTAAACAAAGTTGCATCTTAGGGACCATTTTGTTTAATTTTTATCTTAACAGTATGTACAGGCCCTTACCAAAAAGGAACACCGTTTGCCTAGTTAACTGCAGTTCTATTATATGCAGATGACATTGCCATTCTTTCATTAACTCCTATCAGGATAAAAAGAGCATTGCAAACTTTAACTGCTTATTATAAGGAGGATTCTTTGTTGATAAACTATCAGAATATAACAGTACTTTATTTCTAAGCATACAAATACTCTATAAAATTGGCAACTAAATAGGTACACAACTGAACTGGTAATTTTTTTTAAAAAAATAGGAATTCTTTTTAATGCAATGTGTTCCTGGAAGCCCAAATAAATTTGTTAAAGGACAGTACTTCAAAAAGCTTGGCAGTCAGAAACACATTGTTCAGAACTGGAGATGGGGATGGGAATTTTATTCCAGCTGCTTTATCTACTTTTGTTGCTAAGGGTACATTTCAAATCCTTTATGAAGATCAGATTTGTCCATATACAGATATGGATTTCAATCCTTCAGAAATCATATATAACAAGTTGTAAGAGGGTATTTTTTTTTAGTATTTCAAAGTGTATTAACACTATCATCCACCCAGAATCTGGTATGCCTTTGATTAAGACATGTGCAAAATGTCTTTTTGCAGGGAACATATGGTTTCAGTGAACAAAAAGGCCATATTGTTCCAGATATGAACCAAAATGCAATTTTATAGGGTGAAATGGTTGGTATATTAAGAGTAGGAAAAAGCCAAAGAGATTGGCAGTTGTTGAAGGGAAGCAGAGCACTGAAACTCAAGAGGTTGTCCAGGTGGGCTAGCAGGATATAAAGTGCTAAGAGCCTGTCCTTATTGCTGAGACTGTCACAATAATGCACACTGGCAAAAAGGACAGCTGAAGGAAGAGAGAGGAGGAGAATGTCAAGTATGTCTAAATTGGACTCTACTGACTCTTGTCTGTTTCAGTAATTCAGCCTTGTTATTCATTACTTGATTATTTGTGAAATGTTCCTTTGTTGCTATATCTCTATGGAATCAAGTAAGAGATATATCTATCCTATTCTAAAGAACTACCCTGGTAAAAACCACAATGATCACTGCTTCTATCTGACTAGGACCCTGATATATGTTTCCAGGTTGCCCGATTTTGTGCTATCATTTGTTGTATCCGCCCTACCTACAATTGATGTTTAGCACAAATGTTGGTGATTGCCACTGCTATTTGTACTACAGATACTATAATAATGTATTATATGTAATTGTATTGCATTTTTTAAAATGTTTTATTAATAATTATAGGTCTATCCATTTTATTGCTGTGCTTTCTGATCCAAAGGCTGTAATAAAGGTTTGTTTTGATTTGACATCCTATACACAGGTCTTGTTCTCTCACAACACACTGAGCAATCTCCTAAAAGATGGAATACATTTCTATGGCACAATACAATGTGATAATGTAATATCTTTATGATAAATGATAATAAATAATAAATAACAAATAATATGCTGGGACTGCTGAGGCTTCCCAGGATGTGGCAAACAGGCACAGAGCCACATAGTTCTGGGGCTGCTTGCTGCCCTACATGCAGGCTGCAGGGTGGCCAAAAGGGCAGAGATGGGGGGAGATAGGCAGGTGGGGAGAGGTGAAGTGCCTCTGTGGTTTTAAGTGCATGAAGGCTGCCAAGCGCCCAAATTCTAATCATGTGACCACACGGGTGCTGCAACAGCCATAACTTCGGGCATAGGCTGTAAATCCATTTTTTCAGCATACTCTTAATTTCTAACAGTCACTGAACGAATGGTCGTAAGTCGAGGACTACCTGTATTAAGCAGATTAAACAATCAGATTCTATTTACACTAGAGTTTTGCTTCAAAAATTGCCACGTCAGCCAGATTCAAATCAATGGTATACTTTTAGATCCTTGCCAACCCTGCTGTGTCCATCTTGAGCTACGGCTACTATTATTGAAAGTATGGCTGCTTACAATTCTAAGCCAGATTAGCAGTACAGTAAGCAATCAGTATACATCTGGAAGCCCTGTCAATACATTTTCTGATCGCCACACTGCACTATTGTAATCCAGTCTATGGTGGACCACCTCTGAGCCAAAACCAGATAAATCATCTGGAGACTTACTGAGATGTGGGAATCCATCCAGTATGAACGAACAGCATGACTCAATGATGAAAAAAATACTAATGCACTCTTAGGCTGCTGAGATCATAGAAGTAATAAACTATTGTCAGGTAAACAAAATGTGCAGAGATGCACTCTCAGATCCTGAACACTTGAGAGGGAATGTACCACTGCACTCTCGAAATGTCTAACAATGGCATAATCATATTCATATGAACAGTTATGTTTTCTACAGGACCTCCATGTCAATACAGAGAGGCAAATGGAGCTAGACCAAAGGCTGCACCAACATGATAGATGCCATGATATTTTCTTTTCTTTTTTTAATACCTGACAAAGCTATTCTGTGCTTATTTGATGGCATCTAGAGAAGCATATCGTTCTAAGTACTATATTTTAAGGAAGCAAAAACCAAATAAAACATGGTAAAAATGCTGAAATCCAGAAAGCAAATCCAATAAGAAATGGACAACAGAACTGGATAGGTTTCTTCCATTAATAATAACTAACTTCCAGTAGAAACCATGGTTTCCAACCAATGAATGTACTTGCAAGAAAACATATTGTGGTTAAATCCTAGAAACATTTTAACAATAAGAGCTGTTCAAAAGAAGAACAAAGATTTAAGTTTTACTTTTAAACTGCAGTGCATCTGTTTACTATGAGTGCTATACATTTAATAAATAATACCCTTTAATAATTATACCCTGTAAACATTTTTCCTTCAAGAATCTGATTTTCCAGTCCAATGGAGCATTAAAATATAAGCAGCTTCTGCATTCCTAAGAGAAAGCCTAAAACCCCAATTACCATACCAAAAGAGAGCCTGATCAGAAGATTCAAATGAGATAAATCTTTTTTGTCTATAAGATTCTACTTTTTTCGAAACAATAACAGTAAGAATAAGAGTGTTTAATACCTTCCATCTCAAGATGTCTTCTACCATCTAGTGACTTGGATGATTTCTTATTTACTGTATTTCCTTCTGTTTCATTGAGATCCATTATGAACCATGTGTTATGAACTTGGGAGACCTATGTATGTCGTAAGAAAATTAATACCAACAAATAAATTTTAAAAATAAGATGGTCACACGAGATCTTTTTACCAGTACAAAATAATCACCGATTTTCAAAAAGAAGAGTATAGATTTGTTTCCTATCTACATATGGAATCATTTACCTAATAGCTGCAATATAAATGATCCCCCCCCCCCGAAAGATCAGGTCTAATACTTTTACCAAGCGCTATTATTAGAAACAAGAATTTAGCTGTAAACAGCCTTTAAAAGTTGGCACTATCCGTAAAGGTAGTAGAGCTTATGCATCAACATTAATTCCTATCCACAGCAATGCTCACCTGAAGTAGATTTATATTTACTTAGCCTACGTCGAATCATAGAAGAAATCCCATCTGTTAGCTGTAACGTGGGGAAAAAAAGGGGCCCTACTTATCTACCCAGGGCCTTCATACATGTAAATTTCATTAGGGACAAATCGGTGCTTTGCAGTATTCCACATCATAATTGCCAGTAGGTTGAGAAACAGTGACCCTACAGGTAGAGCAGAAGTAATTGCAGTGTACTAAGCTCACCGAGCCAATCTAGGTGGCCACAGAATCAATGGTATTAAAAGGCACAGAGTGATCAAAGAACAAACAGACCTAGAATTCTTATCCTGTTCCTCATCCAATAAACATCATGTACCTTAAGGAAGATGCTATCCCAAAACCAAACCTGAACCAATCTGGAATAGCTCCAGTTCATCGCTGTACTCTAGGAATTTCAGAATTGTGCTGCACTCTCAAGTACCTACCCCCAAATATGTATTTCTAGTGAGGCAATAGTTTATTCTAACTTCTGCATTCACGAAATATTTTTTAACGAATTGTAGTAGGGACCCTCTATTTGGAAGTGACAAAGTAATTATCTCATGGACCTGTTTGGCTAAAGATAGGAAAGGCTTTTCCTCCCCCATCCCAACTCCCAAAAAAACATGATAGGCAATGATCCAGAGGATACATGCTCTGCTATGTGTCCTTATTAACAGATTAAGGCTGCATAAATAGAGACCAACCCCATGAAAGACAGAATATCATACAACAAAAACTCTGTCAATCTTGGAACATTTAAGCTTTAAGCTCTTTTTCATTTCCATGTACCTGTGAGCTGCTTCCCCCAAATGAAACCTGGGTTTCAAAGAATATTCTTATAATTTGACCTCTAGAAAAGTAGGTTTCACACAAATGAATATATAAATTAATGAAAATATAAATTCCCCCTTTCTACAGGACTCCTTGAGTAATACGTATTCAACAATTAAATGCATGCATTTATTAGGCCTCATTTCTGGGGAGAGGTGGGAGGGGTAAAGGTTAAAAAAAAAGCCTTCAACAGATAATAAACTTAACATGGCATTCAGAATTGGCAAAATATTTGGTAGTCTAATAATTAAAGACTCCTATTCTTTCACAGGAAGATAAAGGTAGGAATGAATAAATACTTACACTGCACGTGGAAAAAAGATGGAGAGCTTGTAAAATATAACACTGATCAGAATTCCCAAAACTCTTTGCTCTACATAGACAATTGTGCAGTCCATCTGGCTTCAATTGCAGCCACTGTCTTGGAGATCTATATATCATCTTGGTAGCCCACATGCCTTTAAATTCAGGTAATGAGTTGAGCTTAAAGAACATTCATCTTGCTGCCCATCAAGAAAAAAAAATGAGGCACTTACAGGATTACCAGATAATGCTATTGAGGAAGAATACAAGTATGAGGTTCTTGAGGTTGCCTGGTAAAAAATGTAAACAAATAGTTGTCAAGATGTTGCAAACTAATAAACTAATTGTGTAATAAAATATGAAAGCAGACATACATTAAGAGTTCCAAAATCAGAAGATCCATACCTCATTAGGATGACTCAAGTATGACCCTGTTTTAATAAACCCTTATTACATATAAGATTCAACCTGTGCCTTATAGCCATAAGTTGCACATGCATGAAAACAAGGTTTTAAAAAAAAAAAGCTGATAAAATCAAGCTCCAAGTATCACAATAAGCTTAATGCAGTAAATATTCCAGCCATGCCAGTATTAGGATTTAAAATAAAAAGAGGTTTTGTAGAAATTGTACCATTTCTCATATCCTTGAGAAGACAAAAGGCTTTCATCCAAACAGAATAACAATAGTTAGAAAGCGAAAAATAATACAGTATGTTCTTTCTTTAACTATGCACATTAAGTAATTGCAGGATCTACCATGGAGAGGGCATATTATTATTATTACTACTATTATTATTATTATTCCAAAATGACAATTTTGTTAATTGATTTTGGCAGAACAGAAATGTAATAAATTAAAAATATATCTTGTTGTCCTGCCTTCCTCTAAGAAAAGCAAAGTGTTGTTGCAATTCATTATCCAAGTACCATCACATAAACTTCATGGCTGAGAATCATGAATATTAAGAAACACATAAAGTGCATTCCAACCCATATCTTCTCCGAAGCAAATCTCACAGAGTTTAACAGATCTTACTCTCAAAGAATCATGCAAAGAAGTATTAAGGAAACTAGTAAGGCTATTTCCATATCCTTAACAAACAATGCAATTCAGTTCCATGAACCTTCTATAGATCATATGTTCCACTTTAAAAATCAGAATTATTGCCAGTAACAACAGATCTAATAGGGTTGGTAATGCTATTTATACTTTTGAGACCTGGTACATATATGTTTAATGTTATATTAAACCTTCATAACTTCAGGCTGCCTATTCTCCCAGCCAACTCCCTTTCATCTACTGCTTATCAAGCAAAACATTAACATGAGAGGTTCTTAAGAGAGAAACCATCATGTCAGATTCCTATTTCTTGCAGTTTTTTTAAAACACAAGACTTCCAACAAGAAGTAGAGTTTACTATAGCAACATAATGCAACATGTTAGGAAAATCTTTTCTACCAGCAGCACCTTGGAAGATATTATTTATGTATTTAGTTTTTATTGTATTTTTATATGTTTACTGTATTTTAATTAATATTTATTTTTTGTTTTTATTGTAAACCCAGAAGCACTTCCTAGTGAGATGGGCGGTGACCAAATTTGAAATATAAATAAAATATGCCTATTATTTATTCATTCTTGCCTTCTCACTATTAGCCCATCCTTCTACTTTTTTTCCTGTTACATCTTTATTAGAAGGTATATTTCCAGTTTTATTAATTTAAAATTTGTGTATCTCTATTCTGTTTTATCGTTATGAACAATCTATGCTATTTGCAAAAGCCAGACACTGTTTTGATTTTAACAATTAGGCTGGCAGAGTATGGGGGAGTGTCAGTATAACCAAACTTCACTTCTAGACAGAAGCCAGTTTGCAGATTTCTCACCTTTAACAATAATCTTATACATACTTTAAACACCTATCACATGCAACCTTTACAGATTTTTTAAATCATGCTGTTTGATGAGGAAGTATTGGAAACTCCAAAGTTTGCCACTGTTCAAACTTCCAGTTGTTCTAATCAGATTATTTCCTAAGCACAGATTTTTCTCCCCTGCAGTCAACATGCCTGCTTTGACTTTCCCTTATTTATTCAACAGACAAAATACAGCAGTAAAGAAGTTGAGGCCAAGATGCCTCCATCTGGAACAGAGCAAGCACCCATTACTGTCACTCACAATTGGTTATTAAGGCGTTACTAACAAGGACAAAGACTGAGCCAACAATCCAGAGATTTAAGGCATTATAATTTATCACTTTTTCAGCTAAACCACCCAGCGCTTTTGTGCAAGGCTAATAAATCTAATGAGCTTGGTCAAGTAACTGAATTTAAATCATCACTACCATATTGATCCAGCCTGCTATAAAACTGGCAAAGTGCAGGCTGAACAGCCTTCCTATTTGGCAGTAATCTTCACTCGGGCTCCCTGGTTTCCCAGCTGAGCTGAAAGGTAAATTTTCCTCTGCTTGAATACTGCAGAATCAATGCTGAAAGGCCATTGTCTCTGCATTTTAAGATTCCTTTTATGTTGCTACAGCTTTTCATACACTTTAAGCAAAGCTTCCAGCCTATTAAAGCTATTATGAGGGAGGAGGGATGGGAAAAGATTCAGCTGCATCTCAGCAACTTTTCCCTTTATACGCCATCAATTTACCTTTGTTCTTTTTAAAGACTACTAATCCCCTTTTAACAAGTCCACTCCACCAAGTGGACTGCATTCAGCGGAAACTTATTTTACGATAACGGTGCTGGTCTTTAAGGTGACACAAAATTCGATTGCTTTCTGCTGCAAACCAATAAAACAGCAGGGCTCCCTCGCTACAGAGCTAACATAATGCCGCTCTTGAAAGGCCATTGCTCACTGGGGCAAGATCTGCCTTGCACCGCCGACACAGCCAGCAGGGCCGGCCAAATGACCCACCGGAGGCCCTGACCGCCCGGACAAGAGAGCCGAGAAGGATGGGCTGGGCAATATTCAGAAGCCGACAAGCTCCTCTCTGCAAAGGCAGCCTGATGATTAACGGGGCAGGTCTCAGGGCGAGCCCCGAGCAACGAGTCAAGTTCACTCCCACCGAGACCGACCGGCCAGACCAGTATCCCTTTTAACCCGGGAAAGAATCCTTTGGAACTGAAGCCCAACAGGGGCTAAACTGATCGATTTCCATCTCAAAGCGACGTAGCTAAGCAAAAGGCCAGACCCGCATTTTCTAATTTCAGCACTTGGGGGAGTGCAAGGCAAAGGACGGATCCTCCATAATATACCTCCGCTTACTCCTCCCTTCCGCCTTCCTTCCTCTAACGAAAGCCGCGCCTCGCTTTCCACGCCCTCCATTTACCTAATGCGACCGGCTGATTCCACACGCTCAGCGGCGCTCGCGCGTCTCTCCCTTAAAGGGACAGGCCCTGCACGAGGGGAAGAGCTTGCTTCCCTTTCCCTCGCATCGGGCCTTCGCAAGCGGGTTTCTTAATTGGTTATCTTCATCAATTATCGCATTGATTTAATTAGCAGTTTTTAACAGCCCGCGAGAGATTCTCCGCTTCTCTCCCCTATAAAACAGCCCTGTAAGGTCGTGCGACTGGATGAAAAGGACAGCAGAAATTGGGGGCAGGAGGAAGGTGTGGCAGGGGGAGCGTAGTAGGGAAGGTGTTAGGGCTGTCAGCTCCGGATTGTAAAAATCCGGACAACCACTAGGCGCCAGCAAAATAGAGACATGTAGGAAACTAGTGGTTGTCAAATTCCTCCAGCCCAGATCTGATAGTCCTAACAATTAATATTTGTTGATGACATTGTTCTCATTGCAGTGGGAAGTTTTAATAACTGGTTTATTTAAATTAGTGAGAGTTATAAATACCCAACCACCGAGAGCCTAAGGTTGGGCAAGGGTGCTTTCTGAGACAAAACACTATGGGGCTATGTCTTCTTATTAATTCATTTAATAGTTTCTATTCCATCTTTCCTCCAGAAACTCTGTCTGGCATAATCATCTCCAGGTCCTCAGTAAGCTTCCACAGAAGAGCAAGGATTTGAACCTGAAGCTCTCTGCTCTTAATCTCCCGCTTGAACCATAAAAGGTGGACATTTCCCAAGGTGCTCCTGAGGTAGATGGGCTTCCATAGGAAGCTGTTCTGACTGGGTCTCAGGGATACAGCTGCAGAGTGGAGAGTAGCTGATCTGGGCTTGCTCTGAGGATGTGTGTGTCCCGGTGCCTGCATTGGGCTTAGCTGATTTCCTATGCAGCGATGGCTTCAACAGATTTAAAAAATGACTTTTAAGCATGCAGCGCATGGTTAAGTTTTGAGGGGAAAGAAGAACCCAATAAGTGGGTTTCACTTTATTTACATAAATAAAAATTATATAAATGAAAACTTACATAAATGAGCCCGTGGAGATTCTTAGAAAATAAAAATGGGAAGTGGCTGCCATCCAGAGATGTATGCATAACTGTCCTTGCCTGCCTATTAGAAAATGGCAAAGGTACAATGGGATAATCATTCAGAGGCAGGAGTCAGGCAGCATACAAATTTAATAAATCATCATCTGGTGGTCATAGCTGCAAGAAGGGTGCCGGATGACAGCCATCGATGTTCACCTTTCCAAATGTTTGAATCCTCTTAATCTACAAGTGTAATTTGCTGAATGTGGCTGAAGCTTGACCAGAGTCCTAGAACTCTTACACATTTTGAAAAGCTTAATCTTCAAGGCATTCACAAGTTTATTTTTTTTAATGGAGAAAGCAGTAGCATTCTAGAAAGAAACAACGAAAAAAGCTACTGTGGCCACTTTTCAGCCTTTTGTTAAAAGTGCAAGCTAGCTTTAGATCCCCAGGAGAACCAGAGGTGAAGATAATGTCAGCTAGCTGTTAATCCTTTCTGCTGGAAAAAGAACGTTTGTACTGAGGCAGCAAGTCTTGGAAATGAAACTTGCAGAACTATTTAAATAACACAATTATTATGTAGTGAAAACACATGAGGATATTTTAAAATATACAAGGAGTAGATACAGCAAATCATGCGGATATAAAGTGTGAGCAAAGAAGATAACATTATACTAATGTGTATTGTAAACCCTAAGTTTTTTTCTCCCCAATTCTTTTACTGATGTGTGTGCATATAGTATATGTTTATTTTTACATACAATCACTTTTCCAATATATATTTCACAGTCTGAAATTGTCTTACAAATGCTTCACTTTGAATCCAGATAATTTGCTTTTTTAAAAAAATAGTTTTATCTCATCAAACTAATTAGCAAAGTAAGGGTGGGATGGGAAAGCATACATAAATAGAATTGATGAATAAGATAACAAGGAAGAAGGCAGAAAAGGAAGAAAAAGGGCCTGAAATTTAACTCATGAACAAAACAGCTTTCAGAAATGTAATGGATTGCTTCTTCCTTGCCCTTTTGCCACTAAGACAAATTCAGGGAAAACACGCAGAGTGTGACTTTGGCAGTTCTTTCAAATGATTTTACCAGCAGTGGCCAAAAGAGGCACCGATTTTCCCTGTGTAACAAAGTCATGAATTGTGACACTTGTGTGTGTGTATGTGTACCTTCTCCACAAGGACTAATTAGGATGTGTGTATATATAATGTATTTGTGTATATGAGAGCAAGACAGGGCAGAACACAACCTACACATGCAGTGCCAATACAGTTTAAAATTACTATTGAGACCCAACTGCATCAAATGTAAACTATTACATGTTTTAGAATAATCTGATTGGATACAAAACTAGAATATTACCAAACTCAGGCTGAGAATGGAAGTTTCATCGGCATTTAACAGACTCTCCATACATTGCTTCCATTAGTGTAATCCACTTAAACTTTTAAGAATTAAAAGCTGGTGACACCACCATTAATAATTACACATGATTTAGGAGTTCAGTAAAACATATTCCTCCAGGCCAAACCAACCAGCCAACCACTGGTCTACCCACCTGAGATATTTTTAAGAAACCATATCAAAAGCTTTCTCAGCAGCCCATTCCTCCCCCCCCGCAATCCCCAAAGAAACTGCTGGATTTTGCCTGCCGTAAATTAAAGCAATTACTGAGTAAAATCAATTAAAATTTAAATATTATCCCAACCTTGACAGTGCCATACAACCTGAGTGCCCAATAGTAATCTGTAATCTGCAGGCCAAGGTAGGTGTGAAATCTTAGCATCTGTATTTATGAAATAAGTAGATCCAAATTTGTAACAATAAGATCCTGAACTTGCCTCATGAAAATCAAGCCAATGTAGAAAAAGAGCCCTGTTAGTCTATGGTGGCAGAAAATCAGGAGTCTGAAAATGAAAGCTAGGAATCTGTTCAAAAAGCTTTAGTAAACCCTTCCAATAAAATAGGATGTAAAAATCCAATCCCCTTTTTTCTCTGTCAGGTGGAACGACATTAGACAAAGGAAACTTCCCCAGGCAGTTAGCTTTACATAAAACTATCACAAATGAAAACAAGCAAAACTTGTGATAGGCAAAATAGAAGAAATGCTTTTATTTTATCCAGAATGCTGATAAAGCAGCATTGAGAATCTCAAAAGGACTTCATTTCATAGTATAACAGCAATTAATTTAAGCCCGTATTTTCCAAATATGGTGCCTTCCTGTTATGTTAGACTACCACTTCCATCAGCATCCAAGCAATGCCAGTGAGATATGATAACACATTTAGAGTACATCTGAGGAAGACTGATGTAGAAATTTTGCTTCATGACATAATGTTGGTACTCAAGATCAAAACCAGTGTGAGAGAAAAATATAAGGTGAGACTTTATCTATGAAGGACATCACCATCTTAACTGAGCCTAGTAGAATGTTTACAACTATGTAGAGACCAAATGAGTATGACTGGCATTTCATTTATCCATAAGAAGCACGGCAGGGGGGCAGCACTGGCTCTAGTAAAAGCTTTACTGTTGTTCCACAAAGATACCTTGAAGGCAGAACATATTACAGTAGTAAAGCCTCCAGATTGTGAAGCTCAATTCGTTGAAGGTGTAATGAAACGTTAACAAGAAACTGAAATGATAAAAAGTGGTTTTAACTTGGCTTTTTTAAGATGAAAAGGCAAACAAGGATCAAAATAACTTTCTTCAGCAGAATCATTTATGGCTAAATCATAGAAGCATTACTCCCTCTAAGCCCCAAGATTGTACTAGTGCCACCTCTAATTTATCTAGTTCATTTTCACTCTCAGCCCTCACTCACAACAGCACCTTTCTTTCATTAACTTGTCAATGCAGATAGAAGATTACCTACAAAGGCAAACAGTGCACCTTCTGTCCCATTAGGGCAGAAACTCTTTTGGAAAAAATAGGTCAATATACAGTATGTCATTAAGGAATGCTTTTCAATCATTTGCCACACATCTGCAGTTTTTCTAAGAAATAACAGAAAACTGGACTTAAGTCTACAATTGTATTAAACATGGTACATGGAGCATCTGTTACAAAAGCAAGATCTTTGTTCCAATGTTTCCTTCATAGTGCAGACATTAAGAGCCTCATTTGGCCAGCCTGGGGTCAAAAGATACAGTTGGATATCATCAGGGTACTGAGGATATCAGACCCCAAACCAGCAGATGACCTTACCCAGCAGTTTCATGTAGATGCTGAATAAGAGGAAAGAGCATCGAACCTTGTGGCACCCCTCAAAGGAGGACCTAGGGACTTTTCCCCTCTCTACTGCTAATACCAACTGGAACTGTCTTCCAGGGCAAGATAGTGCAGTACAATCTTCTGGCAATGGTGGGTGAATCTGATATCACTTATAATTCACCAACATTTAAAAACCTTCATTCTTTGCATATTTGTGTGAAAGATTTATATGAGAAAGAGAAAGCATGTTCTACAGGATCCTTTTTATGATATTCCGAGATGCACTTTGCTCTCCCTGATTATTTCCTGATTTGAGGGTCATATAGGTAAATTTTCTGTACATTATTTTTTCAATGGATATTAACCCTTCACTTACATTTCAGGTTGCAAAATACCTTTACCAAGCCATACAATTATGCAAAGCTCTGGCTTAGATGTGCTGTTTTATTGTTATATGATGATTTCTTTGGCAAAGGTTTTCTGCAGCAATTTATTTTCTTTTTTCTGTTTGTTTAATGCTGGTCAAAGACTATAATAAAGGAGTATTATATGTGTACATGTACATAGACAGAAAGATGACATCAGTTTCTGAATCACACTTTAGCTGCATAGAGGCCTTTGCCGCATCTGTGCTGTTACAATTGCAATAAAATATAGTTAGCTTTTAGCATCAAACAGAGACCCAGCGGTTCACCCAGACTTTTGCAGACTTTAGTCTG